CAGCTGGGGAGACAGGCTGAAACAGATGATGTGGCAGATGGAGTGAGGAGTAGGAAGACAAAAACGCCTCCAATTGGGGATCAGGGAGGTGGGGTGGCTGATGAGCTGTGGTGACTGAGACTCTCCCAGTGGGACCTGGCAGGCACTGCCCCTCGTCTACAGAGGTTCCTCTCTTGCAGGGTAGCTGGAGGACTAGTGGGGTAACCATATCTTTGCCTGGGGCCAGCCTTGAAAAGCCCATCTTGCTCTTCCTGCTGTTCAGCTCCATGTCCATCCTCCCAGCTCAGGCAGAGCCTTGGTGAGGTGTCTCAGCCTCTGAGCTTTGCCCCATCTGTGATGGTCACGTATCAGAGGCCTACCCACTCCCTAGGGAGAGACCAACCAGCACCAGAAAGTTGGCTGAGGAAGGCCTCCTTTGGCCAAGCCTGGTGTCTCCTGTTTACTGTATAACTTTGGGTCAGTGGCTGAACTTGTCTGTGCTCTCGATTTCCCATCTGTAAGATGGGATGGTAGCAGGTGCCCCTTCCAGAGACTGCCTGGAAGGTGGCTGGTGACCAAGATTGCACAGACTGGGTGTTCCTTGGTCAGTGAAGGTTCTGATGGGGACACCTCAGCATTGTCATCTGGACATGAGCCAGGATGGGAGGGGAAGTGTGTGGGGGCAGAGAGCTTGCCACTGGTCAGGGAGGGTGGGGCCTGAACACCCCCTTGTCTTCATGCTGTGGAGGGGCAGAGAGCTTGCAGCTGGTCAGGGAGGTGGGCCTGAACACCCCCTTGTCTTCTGGGCCTTGGTCTGGATGGTGGGGCTCTCTTCTGATGGCCTTGAGAAGTGGCTGGAGTTGGGCATGGGCCAAGATGAGGGCGCTGATGGCATAGCATCTTCCTGTCCATCGGCCGCAGTCAGAGTCCACATCCTGACTCCCGGGTATACTGGTCAGAGGCTGATTAGGGCAGGAGATCACAGCCTGGGCCTTGAGGGCACTGGGCTTTCTATGGTGACCCCGAGGAGCGGGTGAGAGGTGGCCACATCCATCCATCATCCACCCACCCATTCCTCCAGCCCACTTCCTCATCTAGAATGCTCCTGCTGAGATGACAGCTTGCAAAGCACTGCACCCTCTGACCCCCTGTCTTCGGGAAGGTTTACAAGGCTCAGGGAACAGGAGGCCACGGTGGCTGCCCTGGCTCTCCACAGGGGCTTGCGGGGAACTGTAGGATGGGGTGGGGCGGGCTCTGGCTTCCTCTCTCTACTCCCAGCTCTGTGGGCTTAATTTCCCTCTCAACCTGCAGAGCCTGGAGAGGAGGGAGGTTCTGCCACCTCACTGGTCCCGGGTCATTGGTGAACCCTTCCAGTTGATCCTGGATTCAAACCGCTCTGCCTGCCTCCTGGAACAGCTCGCCACCCTCTCTGAGCCTCCATGCCCCTTGGCTGCCACTTGGGGGCTGTCTGTGTGCCAGGCAGGGCCTCCTGCTAGGCACTCCCAGATGCTCCTGTCTCCTGCTTGTCCCCACCCAGCAGGCACAGACAGGTTGGCCAAGGACAGACAGGCAGGGAATGGCTCCGGATCAGGAGGCTGGGAGGAAGGGGGCCAGGCCTTCAGCAGGGGTCAGAGGGCATCCATGCAGGACGCCAGAGTTGGGCCAACAGGTGCAGCTCATGGGCAAGCCCCTGTTCGGCCTCAGTGGCGCGGGCTTTTGGAGGAGGCTTGAGGTGGGTGGGTGGGGGAGGCTGCGAAAGCCCGGGTGGCCTGACTCTGCCTGGCCTGCCCAGCACACCTGCCTCCCAGCACAGAGGGGGAGTGTGTTCCTGTTCAAAAAATGATTTGTGAGGATATCGAGAAAACTAGCATGTCAAGGTGGAGGGAGACACAGGCACCCTGGCGGCCCCTGAGCTGCAGTCTCTGTCTCCTGTCGCCCTGTCCTCTCTCCCTGGGTCTCTGTCTCTGTCTCTGGATCTCTGTCCTTCTGTCTCTGTGTCTCTGTCTCTGGGTCTTTGTCCCTCTGTTTCTGCATCTCTGTCCCCTTGTCTCTGGGTCTCTGTCTCCCTCATCTCTGGGTCTCTGTCCTCTGTCTCTGGGTCTGTGTCTCCTGTCTCGGGTTCTGTCCCTCTGTCTCTGGCCCTGTCCCTGTCTCTGGGTCTCTGTCTCCTGTCCCTGGGTTCTGTCTCGCTGTCTCTGGGTCTCTGTCCTCTGTTCTGGTCTCTCTCTCCCTGTCCCTGGGTCTCTGTCTCGCTGTCTCTGGGTCTGTGTCTTCCCTGTCTCTGGCTGCGAGAGAAGGTATCAGTGTGAAGCTGAGTCTTTTGTCTCCCTGTCTCTGGTCTGTAGTTCCCTATCTCTGAGTCTCTGTGTCTTCATCTCTGGGTCTTTGTCTCCTGTCTCTGAGTCTCTGTGTTCTGTCTCTGGGCATATGTCTCTGTCTCTCTGCCCTGTCTCCCTGTCCCCAAGCGCCTGTGTTCTGGCCTTTGTGAGTCTCTGGATCTCTGTCTCCCTGTCTCAGAGTCTCTGTGTTTCTGGGTCTCTGTCTCTGTCTCTGTCTCTGGGTTCTCTTTGTCTCTGTCACTGTGTCTTGTCTCCATCTCTGTGTCTCTGTCCTCTGTTTCCTGGGTTCTGTCTCCTACCCTGTTCTCTGTTCCAGTCTCTGGGTTCAGTGACTGAGTGTCCTGGCCTGCTGACACTGCGGGGCTCCTGCACCCGCCCTGGGCTCTCCACTGTCTATCCAGAAGCCATTATCTTTCCTCCACTCCCACGGGAACCCAGGGAGGCAGAGAACAGCCTTGGGAAGGGGCGGCCCCTTATCAGGAGGAATAACCCCAGGAAGTAGCCTTGGGCAGTCTGGGAGAAGCAGGCGTGGCCAGCCTCAGGGGCTCTGAACTGTCCATGGGAAAGCTTGCTGACGTGAGGTGTGGGGCTGGAGTTTGAGGGCCAGCATGAGGTGCCGGAACCCAGCGACTCCATCCTGTGGGCTGGGAGCTGTCCCCAGTGCGGCGAAGCATTGTGGTCAATGGCAACAGTACTGAAGAGCTGTTTGTGGAACGGGTGGGACTCTGCCTCTTTGTACCTTTATTCCTCGAGGCGTGCCTAAGAGCCAAAGGAGGACTGCAGCTGGTGGCCAGGTGGGGTGAGGCAAGTAATGCTGGGCCGAGGTGTTCACATCTTGGAGAAGGATTGAGCCTGTGACCTCCCGGTTGCTGGGGATTTGGCAGGCTGCGTGTGAAGACCTGTGCCTGCTTGGTGAGGCCAGAGGGTGGGAAGGGTCATGAGCTGTGTCAGTGTGGTTGGAGAGCAGGTGGTGGCTGTGAGGCTGAGAGGTTGGGTGGTGGACCCAGGCCCCCACAGCCCTGGGCAGCAATCCAAGCCCCACACCACCTCCCACACCGCCAGGTTGCTGTCACCCCCACCCTGCCACCATCTCTGCTTCCCCTCCTTTCACTGGCCTCTGTTCCTCTCCCTATCTCTCTCTCTCTCTCTCTCTCTCTCTCTCTCTCTCTCTCTCTCTCTCTCTCTCCCTGGTCTCTGTCTCCTCTGGGTCTCTCTCCCTCTCCTCTCTCTGGGTCTCTATCTCCTGTCTCTGGCCCTGTCTCCTCTCTAGGTCTCTGTCTTCCCTCTCCCCTCTGGCCCTCTCTCCCCTAAGGCCCTGTCTCCCTGTCTCTGGGTCTCGTCTTCTCTCTCTGGGTCTTTTTCTCCTCTTGCTGGGTCTCTGTTTCTCCTCTCCCTCTGGGTCTCTGTCTCCTGTCTCTGGGTGTCTGTCTTCTCTCCTGTCTCTGTCTCCCTCTCTCTGGGTCTCTCTCTCTCCCTCTCTCTCCTCTCCCTTTCTCTCTGGGTCTGTTCTCCTCTCCCTCTCTGTGGATCTCTGTCTCCCTGTCTCTAGGTCTCTGTCGTCTTCTCTCCCTGGGTCTCTTTCTCTCCCTCTTGCTGGGTCTCTCTCTCCCTTTCCCTCTCTCTGGGTCTCTCTCTCCCTCTTCCTCTCTCTGGATCTCTTTCTCCCTGTCTCCCTGTCTCTAGGTCTCTGTCTTCCTCTCTCTCTGGGTCTCTTTCTCCTCCTCTTGTTGGGCCTCTGTCTCTCCCTCTCCCTCTCTCTGGGTCTCTGTCTCCCTCTCTCTGGGTCTCTGTCCCCCTCTCTGTGGGTCTCTGTCTGTCTCCCTGTCTCTGGGTCCCTGTCCCCCTCTCTGTGGGTCTCTGTCTGTCTACCTTTCTCTGGGTCCCTGTTCCCCTCTGGGTCTCCGTACCCTCTAAGTCCTGTCCCTTTATCTCTGAATCTATTTCTCTCTCTCTGGGTCTCTGTCCCCTTCTCTCCGGGTTCTGTTTTTCTTTCTCTGGGTCCCAGTTCCCCTCTGGATCTCTGTCCCCTCTCTCTAAGTCTCTGCCACTCTCTCTCCGAGCCTCTGTTTCCCTCTCTTGCTGGATCTCAGACAAAGCTCTCAGGATGGTCTTGGTCCAGTTGCCGACCTGGGACTGGCTGGGAGAGAGGCTAGAGAGTGGGCAGTGGCTTCTCAGCTGGCCCTGATGTCCCCTGCTGTCCCCTGAAGTACAGACTCTTCCCCACCCATGCACTGGGACCCTGGGGCGGCATCGCATCAGCCGGGGTGGGAGCCAACCAGCTGTGCTGCGCTGCTGCGCTCCTTCGAGCCACATGGACAATAAAACCAAAATTGGCTTTGAAAGTGGAAGTGCTCTCCTCATTGAGGGGAAGTGAGGGACTATGCGCGTCAGAACCGCCTGTCAGGGGCAATGCCGGCAGGCTCCGTTCTGGCCCAAGCACTGGGCTCCGCGTGGGGGTGGGAAAGGATTTTACAAAACCCCAAAGAAATGTTTCCATGAAATTCTTTCTTGTTCTTGCCTTTTTTTTTTCTTTTCTGGACATTCCAATGAAAAGAACCGTTCTGGGGCTTTGGATCGCTCCTCGTGTATTGGGAAGCCGACCATGGAGATGAGGCCAGCCCGGGGCCAGAGGAGGGGCGCCTGCTCTGACAGGTGCGTGCCCCTCACTGTTGGCTCCCGAGGCAGCCCCCACCTCCCCCGCTCCTAATCCTCCCACGAGGCTTCATCACTAGGGCGCCGGGCCACAGCCCCTGCAACTCTGAGCTTCCTGTGACCTACCCCACATGGCCATCCTGCCTCGGGCTGGGTTCCCCCAGAGCAGACTCTCAGGCAAGGGTTCGAGGGCCCCACGGAGGACCTGTGTGGGGAGGGAAGGAGCCTCCACAGAGTGTGTCAGTAGCAGGCAGGTGGTCCCCGGGCAACCCTTAGAGATCTGGGGAATCCCATAACAGGCGGTCCACCTGGGGGAGTTTACCCTACCCGGGCTCCATGGACGTCAGCCCCAGCACACCCCTGCACCGGGACATCTGAGAGAAGCAGGGGTGGTGTCGCCAGGGCAGACCTGGGCGTGTCCTCGGGTCCAGCACAGGCCTGGGCCTGGCTAGGGTGCCCGATGATATTGCTGAGGGGATACAGTGGCAAGCGGGTGTCAGAATGGCCCCCAGCCTGGGCCAGGCCTGTAGCGGGGGCGTGTGGCCACTCAGAGGCCAGATTCGGGCAGAGGGTGCAGCCAGGGCGGGCAGCAATGGCCTCTTGAGACGGCCCTGACCGGGGCTGCTGACGCATTGGCTCCGATGACTCACGTGCGGGTGACCGTGACTTGAGTGGCCGTCTGGAGACTCGGACCAGCTCAGGGCCACCGCCTTCCTGGGGGCCTGTGGCCCCGTCGTGCCGGCCGCCCCCTGTCTGGACCGGCCTGAGTAATGGGTCCTTCCCCTCCTCCCAGTGGCCGGCTGGAGAGGACCTTAGTCATCAGCCCTGGCCCCAGCCCTCCCTCCTCCTCCGCCTGCCCACCTCCGCCCAGGCTGCGTCTCGCTTCTCTGTCCAGGCTGGGGGACTCCTGCCCCTACTGGCCTCCTCCCTCCCTGAGTTCCCCAGGAGGGGCTGCAGCGGGGTGGGTTTGGCTTCATAGGGGCAGCAGTGAGGATGACGTCAGGGGCCTCAGGGACAGTTGTCCCATCCCTAAGATGAGAGGAAGGAAACAGCCATGTGGAACGCGTCAGGCATCACCAGGGCACGAGGAGGAGGCCTGGGGAGGACAACCTGCTTCCTCCCCTCTTTGGTCCAGTGTGGGCCCTGCGCCCTGTAACCAGCAGTGAATGGGCCTCACCCTGCTTTCTGGGCCTGGGGTGTCCTAACTTCCAGATGGGAGCATCCAAATTCTCCGAGTGTGTAGTCGTCACGTGCTGGTGGCAGCCTGGGTCCCAGGGCTCTGCGTTTGCTCATCTCATCCTCCAGTGGCCCCGGGGCTGGGGAGCTGGATGGTCATTTGCCCCTGCTTTGTAGCTGAGGCCTGGGTGGTTGAGTGACTGCTGAGTTCCCACTACCCAGAGCTTGCTTGGCCCAGGCTGCTGGCCCCTGATGTCTGCTCTGAGATGCCCTGCCAGCCAGCTGAACTGATCTTGCCTTCTGGGTTCTGGGCACCCTCTCCGCTTGCTGGGGAACCCAGAGATCCCATGCTTGGAACACCGGCCCACCTCCCTGGTTTCCTGTTCCTCAGTCATCAACAGCAGGGGGCAGGGCAGCGGCCCCTCTCCTCCCCAGAGGGAGGTTCTCTCTGTCCAGCTTCTCAGTTCTCCAGGTATGTTCTGTGCACTCATGGGCAGATGCATATGTGTGGCACTTTGAGCCCAAATAGCATCCCACTGTGTGCACTCTGCCTCTTCCTTCCTCCTGCAGCCTTGACGTCATCCCCTGGATGCGACATCTTCCCAGGATGCGTCGGCCTCCTCACCCAGCTATAGGGCAGCCCTCTCTTGGAAGGTGCTGTGATTCTGCATATCTCCTCTAAGGGTGGTTAGCTTATTTCTCGTCTGTGGCCCCTAGAGACTGTATTTGGGTAAGTTTCAGAAATGGAGTTGTTGGGTAAAGGACATGAACCTTTAGAGTATTGCTGGGTCTACCCAGCTGCCCTCCGGGGGGTCACCTTGCTTCATAAACCCCCCATGAGTGTGCTTCCCTGACTGCAAGCGAGGCTGACTCTTACATCCTTCCAGCCAGCTCTGCTTGCTTTCTTGGGAACCATCAGCCCACATTCTTTGTGCATCTTTCGATCTCACTCTGTCGCCCAGGCTGGAGTGCAGTGGCACAAACATGGCTCACTGCAGCCTCCACCTCCTGAGCTCAAGTGATCCTCCCACCTCAGCCTCCCAAGTAGCTGGGACCACAGGCTCACGCCAGCATGCCTGGCTCATTTGTATTGATTTCTTGATGCTCTTTATATATGGAGGAGCATGGTAAATATGCTCCTAAGGACTGAGTGGCCCCATGATGAACTTGCCCCAGTGCGACGCGTTTCCTCTGATGAAAATGTACACATGCACACCTGCCTCCAAGGGCTTTAGAGGAGGCACAAGAAGTCCTCCCATCCTTCCCCCCAAATCTCCTTGAACTTTTAAGGAAAAACCAGAACAAAAGCAAAATGGCAAAGGCTGGCAAGGCCCATGCATACTTCTGGGAGACAAGTGTCCACAGAAAGACCGCAGGAGTCACCTGGAGCCCAATGGCACAACCCTTGCCACAGCTGCAACATGAAGCTGATTCTGGGTGATCTGACCTCTTTTGGTTCCCGCTGCCTGGACCACATGCCCATGAGGACGGGGCCTACTTTATCTCATTCACGCTGCATCCCTGCACGCATGGGCAGGGAAGAGGAGTTGGCAAAGCCAGTGAGGCAAGCTAGGGACAAAGAGGGACGTGGTCACCTTGAGGGTACTCAGAGGCACATGCAGGATGCGGCTTTGGCTCCAGGCAGCCTGGACACCTCTCGAAGGGTGTCGGTGAGAGGGCGTGGCATTCATGGGAAGCAACAAGACCCTGCCCCTGGAGATGTCCAGGCAGGTGCTGGACCCCTGTTGGGGAGGCTGGACAGGGGAGGGCAGCCCATGAGCCTGCGACATGTTCCTCACAAGCCTCGGAACTGTGGATCTGTCATGGGTCTAGGGAAAAAAGAGCCGAGGCTTGGCTCACCGCAGCAGCCTGGTCAAGTGCGATTGGGGCGGATGTGTGGGGAGGGGAGGAAGGGAGGAGTAAAGGTGAGTGTCCCCTCCACTTGGCAGGGGAAAGGCCATGGGGACAAGCCAGAGTCTCAGGATGCATTTGAACCCCTTTCCTTCCCTGCCCTCATCAGCTTTCAGAAGGCTGCACCCCCACCCTCCGCGGCAAACTGCACCCCTGGCACCGCATCATTCCTGGCCAGCCCAGATGACCGTGGCATTGGGCTCTGAGTAGCATATGTCCTGCCTCCCCAGGGACTCAAAGGCTTTCCACTGAGCATAGGCCCCACACTGGGTCCTCCGTGCTGTGTCCCCACCCTCTAGGACATGGAGCGCCTTGCAGGCAGGGATAGGGCTTGGGCAGCTTCTCTGCCTGCAGTACCTTGCAGGCCTGTGGTCAGCGCCTGGCCCTTCAGCCCCTCTCCCCAGCAATTTGTCTTGGTCACCCACCCTTTCCCAAGGGTCCCTGGAAGGGTGGCCTGAGGGGAAGGTCAGAGCCTTCTGGTGGCAGCTGCTATGTTGACTGAATGCCCACTGTGCACCCTGTGTTTGACGTTGGCTCTTTAATGCCCACTGTGGTTTTGGGGCTGGCTGGCAGTGGGGCCAAGGAGCCTTCCGTCTCCTCCCGCTTTCTTGGAAAGATCAGTGCCTGCATTCCTGGCCCTTGCTTACGGGCAGGCGTGGGTCCCAGGAATGGGAGAGCAAATTCCAGAGGGCAGAGGCCACGAGGACACGGCAGGGTGCCTCAGCCCGGTGGGGGTGAGGGTCTTGGAGGGAACTGACCCTGGAGGTGGCACCAGGGTCCACCCCCTGTTGTGTTGTGAGGAACAAGTGGTGTGTTAATGGCTCCTAAGGTATTCATTCATTGATCCGTTCAACAGTTTTCTCAAATGAAATTGCAAAGGGTTGGTGGGGCTGGAGAAGAGGGGACAAGGGGGCAGTAGGGGCAGTGGGGGCTGGATCACAGAGGGCTCGTATACTCTGGGTTGCGAGGGGCTGTGGCGGGGCTTGCAGGGGACTCAAGAAGGCTCCCATGTGTCCTTTGGTTTTTTTATTGAAGTGAAATTCACATGACATAAAACTGTCTTAAAGTGGACAATTCAGTGGCATTTAGTAGATTCACAGTGGTGTGCAAACACCACCTCTATCTAGTTCCAGAACATTCTCATCCCTCCAAAAGGAGACCCCACCCCATCAGCAGTCACTCGCCCCTCCCCTCCCCCAGCCCTTGGTGGCACCATCTGCTTCCTGTCTCTGCCGATTTGCCTGTTCTGGGCATTTTGCGTCGGCGGAGTCATACGCAGTGCGGCCTTTTGTGTCTGGCTTCTTGCAGTGAGTGTTGTGTTCAAGGTCGTAGTGTGTGTGTGAACCTCTGGGCTGTGTCCTCACCTCTGCTCTCCCCACAGCACGGCGGACAAGAACGGGGCCCTCAAGTGCACCTTCTCGGCACCCAGCCACAGCACCAGCCTCCTGCAGGGCCTGGCCACCCTCCGCGCCCAGGGCCAGCTCCTCGATGTTGTGCTGACCATCAACAGAGAGGCCTTTCCTGCACACAAGGTCGTCCTGGCCGCCTGCAGCGACTACTTCAGGTAAGCGCTGGCCCTGGACAGCTGGAAGGGGTATCTGCCTGTGGGGACAGGGACAGGGCAGATGGCACCCACTTTCTTTTTTTTTTTTTCGAGACGTAGTCTCGCTCTGTCACCCAAGGTGGAGTGCAGTGATGCAATCTCAGCTCACTGCAAGCTCCACCTCCTGGGTTCACGCCATTCTCCTGCCTCAGCCTCCCGAGTAGCTGGGACTACAGGCGCCTGCCACCATGCCCGGCTAATTTTTTTGTATTTTTAGTAAAGACGGGGTTTCACCGTGTTCGCCAGGATGGTCTCGATCTCCTGACCTCATGATCCACCTGCCTCGGCCTCCCAAAGTGCTGGAATTATAGGCGTGAGTCACCACGCCTGGCCCGATCTGTCTCTACTTGATGCCTGCTGTATGCCAGGCACTATTCTAGGCCTTGGGATCCAGCAGGGATGAGAGAGTGAAACGGGCACAAGCCCCTACCCTCAGGGCATCCTCTCAGGACACCTGGAGCAGGACAGCTGAGGGACTGGAGGGGCATCAAGGGCCGCAGGGACCCTGTGTCTGCCAACGCCGTGTCCCAAGCTCTGTCTGAGGCCCGAATGAGTTCTCCTGCCTGTCACCCTGAGCCGTGGACACTTCCCCCATGTGACAGGAGAGGCCATGGCAGGCACGTGGGTCTGTCTGTCCCTGTGCCATGGCCAGGCCAGAAGTGAGAGCACCACAGAACAGGGCTGTGGGGTGGGGGGTGCATCTTCCTCACCAGCTGGGGGCTGTTACAGGGCTGGGTGATCTCCCTCCCTGGGTGACCAGCAGGTGAGCCTCCTTTCTGCCAGGCAGTGACCCTGCCAGAGAGAGCTGGGCCGCCCTGGGGCGGTTCCCAGGCCCCAGGCCAGGTGTGCCACTCAGCCGCACGTTCCCCGAGGCCTGGGCCGCCTGCCCCATGGGCTCAATGAGGCTGTTGTGGGGGCCGCAGCAGCCGAGCCAACTGGGGCGCTGCTTCTATTTTTATTCTGGATTTGGGGACGGGTGGGCCAGCCCAGCCAGCCATGCCCTTTAAAGGCTCCCCTGTGCTGGCACTACAGCCAGCGAGACCTTAAAAGGCAAAGCTCCCTCCTGTCGCCCGCGACCGCCTCTGCCTTCATCATATCATGCCCAAGGGCCAGCGGGGACCCGTGGGGACAAGCGGGGCAGGGTTTGGATTGCTGGCAGTGTAGTTCCTGCTCCTGGCCCGCTCAGAGATGCTGAAGAGCGGCTCGTTGGGCAGATGTCAGTGGGCAGCCCAGAGACAGCGCCCTGGTAGCTGTCTTTGCCCCTGTAGCCCTGAACCTGGCTCACATGAGGCGCAAGACTAGGGGACAGTCCTCTGTAGGTCAAAATGCACAAGGGATGTTCCGTCCTCCTCAGACAGCCATCAGGGGAGGTGCACCGACTGGAGTGAGAGTTGCTATGCCATGCCAGTGCACCTCCTGGAAGGAACCACCCATTCCCCTGGAGCTGGGGTGCTCTCCCCTCTTCTGCTGGGGAACACCCTAAACGCCGTAGGGGAACTGTGACCTAGAGCCCTGTGCCTCCCCACTGCCCTCCCTCACGGGGGCCTGTGTCACCTCCCCCTCTCATGTTCTGCCTCCCAGAGCAGAGCAGTACAAAGGCGGAGCTGGGGTCTCAGTGGAGGCTGGGGACATAGCTGTTGGGTGGGAGGCACTTCCCTGACCACCTGAGCCTGTCTCTGGAGACAGCAGTCACCCCAACACAGCCCCCTGGTGGGGGATCCATTCCTGGGGACCCACATTACCTTCCCCTCTTCACATGATGATTGTTGAGACTCGGGCTGGGCATGTCAGAGCTGCCTGCTTAGGTCAGTGAGCAGGTGAGGGCTGAACTGTGGTGCACGGCACCTCCAGAGCACTGGCCTTGTACCTCCTGAGCTCAGGTGTCAGGTGGGGCTGCATATCTGTCCCCAGAGCCACAGGGTGTGTTCTCTTCCTGCACTGCCATACCTGGCCCCTCCAACTGCCCCCCACTAGGCACATTGTGGGTGAGGCTGACCCGGGCCACTGCTCCTGCAGCTCCAACACAAGAGTCACGAACTAGTCATGAAGGGGCAGGGGCAGGGCTCCCTGCAGAGGGGCCAAGCAGGGAGTTGCTGTTTATAGGAAGATGCATGGCTTGGGTGGGATTCAAAACCTTTTTTTTTTTTTTTCACGTTTTGTTTGTTTGTTTGAGACACAGTTTCGCTCTTGTCGCCCAGGCTGGAGTGCAGAGGCATGATCTCGGCTCACTGCAACCTCAGCCTTCTGGGTTCACGCAATTCTCCTGCCTCAGCCTCCCGAGTAGCTGGGTTTACAGGTGCCCACCACCATGCCCAGCTAATTTTTTGTATTTTTAGCAGAAACGGGGTTTCACCCTGTTGGCCAAGCTGGTCTTGAACTCCTGACATCAGGTAATCCACCCACCTCAGCCTCCGAAAGTGCTAGGATTACAGGTGTGAGGCACTGCGCCCAGCCTTTGCATGTTTTTTTTTGTTTTGTTTTGTTTTTTGTTTTTTTGAGACTGACTCTTGCTCTGTCTCCCAGGCTGGAGTACAGTGCCCTGATCTCGGCTCACTGCAAGCTCCGCCTCCTGGGTTCACACCATTCTCCTGCCTCAGCCTCCAGAGTAGCTGGGACCACAGGCACCTGCCACCACGCCTGGCTAATTTTTTGTATTTTTGGTAGAGATGGGGTTTCACCTTGTTAGCCAGGATGATCTCGATCTCCTCACCTCATGATTCACCCGCCTCGGCCTCCCAAAGTGCTGGGATTACAGGCCTGAGCCACCGCGCCTGGCCTCTTTGCATGTTTTTAATGAGCAGTCCGCCTACTTTCCTCTTGCTGGTTGTGCCCTGCATTCTGTGTCCCGGGGCCACTGTTCCCCAGGCCAGATCATTCCTGGCTGGCCATAACGCCCCTCAGCCACTGTGAGCCACACACTGTGTTTCTGCCCTCCAGGGCCATGTTCACCGGCGGCATGAGGGAGGCAAGCCAGGATGTCATCGAGCTCAAGGGCGTGTCAGCCCGCGGCCTGCGGCACATCATCGACTTCGCCTACAGCGCCGAGGTGACCCTGGACCTGGACTGTGTGCAGGACGTGCTGGGCGCGGCTGTGTTCTTACAGATGCTGCCCGTGGTGGAGCTGTGCGAGGAGTTCTTGAAGGCGGCCATGAGCGTGGAGACCTGCCTCAACATTGGCCAGATGGCCACCACCTTCAGTCTGGCCTCGCTTCGGGAGTCAGTGGATGCCTTCACCTTCCGGCACTTCCTGCAGATCGCCGAGGAGGAGGACTTCCTGCGCCTGCCGCTGGAGCGCCTGGTCTTCTTCCTGCAGAGCAACCGGCTGCAAAGCTGCGCCGAGATCGACCTGTTTCGCGCGGCCATCCGCTGGCTGCAGCATGACCCGGCCCGTCGGCCGCGCGCCAGCCATGTGCTCTGCCACATCCGCTTCCCGCTCATGCAGTCGTCTGAGCTGGTGGACAGCGTGCAGACGCTGGACATCATGGTGGAGGACGTGCTGTGCCGCCAGTACCTGCTGGAGGCCTTCAACTACCAGGTGCTGCCCTTCCGGCAGCACGAGATGCAGTCTCCACGCACCGCCGTGCGCTCGGATGTGCCCTCGCTGGTCACCTTCGGCGGCACACCCTACACCGACAGCGACCGCTCGGTCAGCAGCAAGGTCTACCAGCTGCCTGAGCCAGGTGCCCGCCACTTCCGCGAGCTCACGGAGATGGAGGTAGGCTGCAGCCACACGTGCGTGGCTGTGCTGGACAATTTTGTGTACGTGGCCGGGGGCCAGCACCTGCAGTACCGCAGCGGCGAGGGCGCAGTGGACGCCTGCTACCGCTATGACCCCCATCTGAACCGCTGGCTGCGCCTGCAGGCCATGCAGGAGAGCCGCATCCAGTTCCAGCTGAATGTGCTGTGCGGCATGGTGTACGCCACAGGCGGCCGCAACCGCGCCGGCAGCCTGGCCTCCGTGGAGCGGTACTGCCCCCGGCGCAACGAGTGGGGCTACGCCTGCTCGCTGAAGCGCCGTACCTGGGGCCACGCTGGGGCCGCCTCAGGGGGCCGCCTCTACATCTCGGGTGGCTACGGGATCTCGGTGGAGGACAAGAAGGCCCTGCACTGCTACGACCCCGTGGCTGACCAGTGGGAGTTCAAGGCGCCCATGAGCGAGCCCCGCGTGCTGCACGCCATGGTGGGCGCCGGCGGCCGCATCTATGCCCTTGGGGGCCGCATGGACCACGTGGACCGCTGCTTCGACGTGCTGGCTGTGGAGTACTATGTGCCGGAGACCGACCAGTGGACCAGCGTCAGCCCCATGCGGGCTGGCCAGTCAGAGGCCGGCTGCTGCCTGTTGGAGAGGAAGATCTACATCGTAGGGGGCTACAACTGGCGGCTCAACAATGTCACGGGCATCGTACAGGTGTACAACACGGACACCGACGAGTGGGAGCGGGACCTGCATTTCCCCGAGTCCTTCGCGGGCATAGCCTGTGCCCCTGTCCTGCTGCCCCAGGCCGGGACCAGGAGGTAGCCCCCAAGACCCTTGGGACCCTGGCCTGACCGCATGTTGTCTCCAAGTGGGGCTTGGCGAGTGCACGTCTGCCTGAGAACCCCAGTGCCCCCCCTTTGCCCGGGCTGCCCTTGAGGGGCCTGCTGCGTTGATAGGCCCCCCTCCCAGGGGTCCCTCCCTCCTTCCCAAAGCAGATCCTGGCTCTAAGTCCATCCGAGGGAGCCTGCCCGCAAAGCATCAGACGTGGTGGCAGCAAATTTGTCCCCGGTGTGGTTTCCTCGCCTGCCCCCCACCCCTGAGTCCCCGCGGACTGGCGGGTGGAATCTCAGGTCTCCAGGGGGTCCCTGTGCAGCTCCATCTCACTTCTCTGCCGCCTCCCAGCCCCACAGTTTCAGGCATTCAGATGTGAGCTCATCAGCATTGAACCCAAAGTCAGTGGTATATGACTCACCCTCCTTCCAAGTCTCCTGCGCGCGCGTTTTAAAAATAAACTCACCAGAAACCTCCATAACACACGGACCTCCAGGAGCAGTGAGAGGCAGCTTGGAAGCCCCTGGTTTGGAGTGGGTGGAGGACGAGGGCACGTGTCTGCCTCCCCTGGGGTACCCTCCTTCCCCCATTCCAAGCTGCTGAGGGGAGGCCCTGGTCATGCCTCAGTTTCTGTCTTCATCTGCTTTCCGGAGGAAAAACCATATCAACTCCTAGAAACGGTCTTTACGGGCCTTGGACCTTCCATTTGGCACTAGGCATCTTGTGGGGCCCTAACTGGTTGAGACATCCTGGCCCTCTACATTTGCCCTGTTGGCTGGGCGGTCTCCTTCCCACAACTGGAGGGGGACGCTAACTTCAGAATCCCACAGTGTTGCTTCCCGCAGGTCTGGTGGGGTGTCTTTATTCTCCTCCCTCCTTTCCACCCCTCCACACCCCACCACTCCGCAACCTGCCCTGTTTTTGGGTCAACATTGCTACCGAGCCGGCAGTGAGGCCTTTCCCTTCAAGGGCTCTGTGGCATCTCTAGCCACATTTGTTTCAATGTATGAACCTCTAAACCTTTTCTTTTTGATTGGTTTTACTTTTTTTTTTTTTTTTTTTTTTTAAGAAGCCAGCACTGCTGTCTCATAGATGGGATTTGTACTCTCGGGGCAACTTGAAGTGTCTCTCTCGCTGCTAACAGACGATTGATGTCTTGTCTCTGTGACCCACTCACCGTGTAGAGAATTAACCTCCTATCTTAGCAGACGTCGTCTCCTAATATTTGCCTTTATTTAATAAAAATGTTATGGTGAAGAGATGGAGCCGGCCCAGCACTGAGCTTGTGCGGCTTGGGTTTGATTGGTCACAGATTCCTCGTGTGTCCTCCGCGTGTCTGGGGGCTCCTCTCCCCCGCCTCAGCCTTTTCCAGCCTTGTAGAGGAGTTGGCAGGGGGCTGGGCTTTGGCTCAGGGGTGCAGAGGCAGCAGGAAGTGTGACCAGGACTTTCACCCTGGCGTTTTTTGTTGTTTTTTTTTGTTTTGTTTTTGTTTTTCTTTTTGAGATGGAGCCTCGCTGTGTCACCCAGGCTGGAGTGCGGTGGCACAGTCTCGGCTCACTGCAACCTCCACCTCCTGGGTTCAAGCGATTCACCTGCCTCAGCCTCCCAAGTAGCCAGGATTGCAGACGCACACCACCACACCCGGCTAATTTTTGTATTTTTAGTGGAGACGGGGTTTCACCATGTTGGCCTGGCTGGCCTTGAACTCCTGACCTCAGGTGATCGGCCTGCCTCTGCCTCCTAAAGTGCTGGGATTACAGGTGTGAGCCACCATACCCAGCCCACCTTGGCACTTTGGAAGAGCCTTCAGCCCCCTACTCTCATCATGGCCAGCCAAACTATGAACTGGGCTGCCCAGAGCAGGCCACTTACTGGTTGCAGGTTAGCAGAGAAAGCCTGATGTTCCCGGACGGCCTTCCTAGAGGGGAGGCCCTGGGATATCACACACGCTTGGATGTGCATAAGTCGCTGCGCCCGCATGCCTGGTGCTCCTGTGTGGCAGCCATCGGGGCTGGGGTAACACTAGAGGGTGAGGGGGTGGGCAGTGCTAAAATAAGAACATGGTTGGGAACCTAAAAGAAGCCCACATTGTCAGGGGGCATCAAAACGAAAGCCGAGTTCCTTGGGACTTACCAGAACATTCCAGCCCCACCCCCGACCTGAGCTCCCTCAAAGAGAACCCTTCCCCACTGGAGGCATGGCCCCTTCAGGGGGCAGTGAGAAGCTTTGCCAGCTGCAAGTCCCCCAGATCAGCTCACACCTCAGAACATCTTGTCCCCAACGAGCTGGCAGGGGCGCCGGCCCAGGGCGGGGGTGCTGCTGTATCTAACCGGATCGATTGTGCATAACCGTCTAGGCCGGTTCGTGGAATGTTCTTGGGGCCCCCTGCCCCTCCCTCAGCCTCCCCCCGCATCCCCCCAAGAAAGGAAAATTATTTTTCGTATTGTAAACTTTAAACACGAAAAAGCTGTTTTTAATTTAGCAGAAACTGGCTTGGATCTTCACTTTGTGAACGTTTGTGTCCTTCAGAGAAAGGCAGAATACGCCTGCGCACACTCACACATACGCACACACCTGCACACGCGTGCCGCAGCGCACACATTCACATGACCGTGCTCGTGCACGCCTGCACATGCATGCTCGCCCATACTCACACACTGCAACGTGTTCACATGCTCACCCGCACATGGTGAAACGCACACACACACAAGTGCGCACACACACGTATCTGTGCATGCACCCCTGGAGCGGCGTAGCCCACTCTGCCTGGTGGCTCACAGGGGTCTGGAACCCGGCACCGCCCCGAGCCTGGGGGAAGCCTGTCTACTTCCAGACGCCCTGCCTCCTCGCTGAGGCCTGGACGCCGGCCACAGGATCCTCCCTCGCACCTGGGCTCGGGCTGTGGGAAAACGCTGTCTCTCGGGACGGTCAGATGCAGGCCCGCAAGAGGGAGGCCAAGTGTGACTTCTGGGGCCTCTCAACAAGTGAGGGCCAAGGGGGCCTCTGGGGAGCCGTGTGAGGTGGGAATCCGCCCCGGACCTGGCCAGCTTGGAAACCAGCCCCTGGCTCCCTCTCCGAGGAAGCAGCTCCAGCTCGTCCGTTCTCACGGGCCCTGGAGATTCACTTTGCACGGTGCAGCCTCAGGCTCTGCTCTTCCTCGGGGCGCCCAGCCGTGGATCTCAGCAGCCCAGCGCCTACACAGAGCCTGGCACAGACGGGGCATAGCTCGAATGTTTGCTGCACAAAGGAGAGGTGCTGGGGTGGGAAGGTGAGGGCAGCCTTCTTCATACTAGCGGCCATGGGCACCTTCTGTGTGCACACCCCGGGGGAAGGAGGACACCAAGCGGTGCTCCACCCCCAGCAAGGCCCCTGCTTCGTTCTCGTCTTCCTGTCACTCTCATTCTGATGGCCAGCCGGGCAGCCATTCCTCCCTCCTCACCATCAGAACCCAGCAGCAATGTGCCCAGCCTCTGGAGTTAAGATTCAGCTGAGCTGTTCTTGGCAATGCCTTTTGCTGGGGTTGTTTGCAATCTGGGCACGTTTCCCAGCTCTGGCCAGCAAGCTTGAAGGGGTCGGGTGTTTCTGGACAAGGGAGAGAGAGGTCTTGTTGCCCCCTTCCCTCCCTTACTGCTTCTTATGAGGACACAATGCCAGGGGCTTCTGCAGCCATCTTGTGGCCAGGAGGAGCAAGTTAAGAGAGCACACTCAGGTTGGGCGCAGTGGCTCATGCCTGTAATCCCAGAGCTTCAGGAGGCCGAGGCAGGAGGATTGCTTGAGTCCAAGAGTTCAAGACCAGCCCTGAGTGACATAGTGAGAACTTATCACTACAAAAAAAGAAAAAAAGAAAAGAAAAAGCTGGTCAGGGTGGCGCACACCTGTAGTCCCAGCTACTGGGGGAGGCGAAGGTGGGAAGATCACCTGAGCCCAGGAGTTCTAGGCTGCAAGGAGCTGTGATTGCAACACTGCCCTCCAGCCTGTTTTTCTGAGCCTAGTTTTCCAGCCTTCTCATCACTTCTGTGAGCTACCAAACAATTTTTTGTGTTTCGTTTTTGAGATGGAGTCTCACTCTGTCGCCCAGCCTGGAGTGCAATGGCGCCATCTCAGTTCACTGCAACCTGTGCCTCCCGGGTTCAAGCAATTCTCCTGCCTCAGCCTCCTCCTGAGTAGCTGGGATTACAGGTGCACGCCACCACTCCCGGCTAATTTTTGTATTTTTGGTACAGATGAGGTTTCGCCATGTTGGCTAGGCTGGTCTTGAACTCCTGACCTCAAGTGATCTGCCTGCCTTGGTCTCTCAAAGTGCTGGGATTACAGGAGTGAGCCACCACGCCTGGCCTTTTTTTTTTTTTTTTTCTTTTCTTTTTTTTTTTTTTTTGAGACGGAGTCTTTGCTCTGTCGCCCAGGCTGGAGTGCAGTGGCACGAACTCGGCTCACTGCAAGCTCCGCCTCCCGGGTTTACGCCATTCTCCTGCCTCAGCCTCCCGAGTAGCTGGGACTACAGGCGCCCGCCACCTCACCCGGCTAGTTTTTTGTATTTTTTAGTAGAGACGGGGTTTCACCGGGTTAGCCAGGATGGTCTCGATCTCCTGACCTCATGATCCGCCCGTCTCGGCCTCCCAAAGTGCTGGGATTACAGGCTTGAGCCACCGCGCCCGGCCTTCTTTTTTTTTTTAAATAGAGACAGTCTCACTATGTTGTCCAGGCTGGTTTTGAACTCTTGGGCTCAAGCAGCACTCCTGCCTTGGCCTCCCAAAGTGCTGGGATTACAGACATGAGCCACCGTGCCTAGCCAACCAACCAGTTTTGCAATACACACGTTGGCTATTTAAATTGTCCAGACTGAATGCAGTGGCTCACACCTATAATCTCAGTGCTTTGGGAGGCTGAGGCAGGCGGATCACTTGAGGTCAGGAGTTCGAGACCAGCCTGGTCAACATGGTGAAACCCTGTCTCTACTGAAAATACAAAAATTAGCCAGGTGTGGTGATTCACGCCTGTAATCCCAGCTACTTGGGAGGCTGAGGCAGGAGAATTGCTTGAACCTGTGAGGTGGAGGGTGCAGTGAGCCAAGATTGAACCACTACACTCTAGCCCAGGCAACAGAGCAAGACTCCAAAATAAATAAATAAATAAATAATATAAAATAAATAAATAGTCTAGAGTCAGTTTCTGTTGCTTGCAAGTAAAAACCCTGACATGAGGCCGGGCGCGGTGGCTCAAGCCTGTAATCCCAGCACTTTGGGAGGCCGAGACGGGCGGATCACGAGGTCAGGAGATCGAGACCATCCTGGCTAACACAGTGAAACCCCCTCTCTACTAAAAAAATACAAAAAACTAGCCAGGCGAGGTGGCGGGCGCCTGTAATCCCAGCTACTCGGGAGGCTGAGGCAGGAGAATGGCGTGAACCCGGGAGGCGGAGCTTGCAGTGAGCTGAGATCCGGCCACTGCACTCCAGCCTGGGCGACAGAGCGAGACTCTGTCAAAAAAAAAAAAAAAAAAAAAAAAACCCTGACATGAGATGGGAAAACTCCAGCATCTGCCACATTTACATTATAATTTTGGAACTGTTTGGGGTGACAAGCATATCTGGCCATTAGTGTTTTCTGCAGTGCAGACATTATTTCTCATAACGAGGAGACTGGAGGTCAGAGGCGGTGGGATGTTATGACTGGTGGCCCATGATTTCTGGGAGGGGGCACGACTATGCCTCTCTCTTTTTTTCTTTCTTTCTTTTTTCTTTTTTTGGTTTAGAGACTGTATTCCCAGCATTTTGGGAGGCTGAGGCAGGCAGATCTCTTGAGCCCAGGAGTTGGAGACCAGCAACACAGCAAAACCCCGTCTCTACAAAAAAATAGAGAAATTAGCCTGGCATAGTGGCGTACACCTGTAGTCCCAGCTGCACAGGAGGGCGAGGTGAGGATCGCTTGAGCCCCGGAGATCAAGGCTGCAGTGAGCTGCGATTGTGCCACTGCACTCCAGCCTGAGTAACACAGTGAGACCCTGTCTTAAAACAAAAAAAAGAAAAAGAAAAAGAAAACAATGGTATCAAAGGGGTGAGGCAGCTAGGCCTTCAGCTGAAATTGTGCCAGAGGACGATCCTGCCACCACTGCAGAATCCAGACGCCTCCGTTGGCACTGCCATCTGCCCTGGGCACTCAGCCACAGCTGCCCCTGGAAAACAGATGGCCCTGCCCTGATGCTGTTTCTCTGTAGCACTTGTGCCTGCATGGAAACATCCCAGTGGCCCAGCCAGTATCCCACGCCA